TGCTCTCTCTCCAGCCCCTCAGGCCAGTTTAGTTTTGTTTTCCCATCCCCATGGAGATCTCCAAGCCTACTCGGATTGGAGTTGAGCATCTTCCACCCAGATCCTCCAAATTCCAGTAGGTGGGGGTCACACCCACCACCTGGCCCCCTGGCGCCGTGTAATCCCATCAGCGGCCAAGACTCAGAGACTATAAAATCCAGATCCCGGACGAGAACAGTGCAGTCTTCTGCCCCCGCGCCTGGCTGTTCCTCGCTGGGGCCCCTTGGAGGGGAGCGGGTTGAGCTTTCCTCCCCGCCCCGACCAGGGCTCCAGCAGCCGAAGACCTCCAGGACCAGCCTCCACCATGCTGAGACCACTCTCCGCACACATGAAGGTACTGGCAGAGGGACAAAGCCATGCGGGTTCCGGGGCCGAGATCTCCAAGCCTACTCGGATTGGAGCCGAGCATCTTCCACCCAGATCCTCCAAATTCCAGTAGGCGGAGGTCACACCCACCACCTGGCCCACTGGCGCCATGTAATCCCATCAACAGCCAAGACTCACTTAATCACTTAATCACTTATCTTCCCGTTAGTAGTTGATTTGCTCGAGCGGGTGCCAGTAACATCTCCATTTGTCCCTGTCGCGTGCTAGTGTAGCCCAATGGCATCTGTTCGCTCTGTGAACATGAAGAGCCTCAAACCGATTGTTCATGATCTTCACGAAGAAGTCTGACCATCTGGTAGGTGGGCGGCCACGCTGTCTTTTGACATCCCGTGGAATCCAGTCAGTAACAGCTCTAGTCCAGCGGTCGTCTTTAAATCTCATTACGTGACCAGCCCATCTGATTTTTGACACCTTGGCAAACGAGACAGCGTCCCTGATTCTTGATCGTCGACGGATGTCAGAACTCCGGATTTTCTCTCATTTGAGTGAAACGTGATATTCCAAGCATAGCTCTTTCTATTCTTCTTTGGGAGACCTGAATAGCATTCTCATCCTGTTTACGTAGGGCCCAGGTCTCTGAGGCATATGTTAATGCAGGAAGAACAGTGGAATCAAAAAGATGTGCCCGGAGCCGGAGGTTCTTCGTCCTCTTAGCTATTTCTTCGACGTTCTTGAAGGCGTTCCAAGCCACTCTCTTCCTCCTGCGCAGCTTGGGTGCCAGGTCATTTGTCATGTTGACTTCTTGACCTAGGTACACATAGCTGTTGCATTCGGAGATGGTCATTCCGTTGAGAGCGAATGGGGCATCAGGAACGAGGCTGTTTCTCATAAACATTGTCTTCGTAAGATTCAGCTGTAGTCCTACCTTTCCACACTCACGGTCAAAGTCGGCCAGCATTTGTGCCGCTTGGCTGATGTTTGGTGTTATTAAAACAATGTCATTAGCAAAGCGGAGGTGGTGTAGTTGCCGACCATCTATCTTCACTCCCATTCCTTCCCATTCCAGTCGTCGCATGATGTTCTCGAGGGTGGCACTGAAGAGTTTCGGTGAAATGGTGTCACCCTGCCGCACCCCTCTCTTGACATCAACGATCACTTCTTTGTAGAATGGTGAGATCCTGGTAGTGAATCCGCAATACAGCTCACGGAGGATCCTGATGTATTGGGCTTGAATGCCCTGATTGGCTAGGGCTTCAATGACCGCTTCCATCTCAACAGAATCAAAAGCCTTCTTTAAATCAATGAACGTTAAACAGAGCGGCATCTTGAACTCTCGAGAAACCTCAATGAGCTTGGTTATCATGTGGATATGGTCGATGGTGCTGAATCCTTTGCGGAACCCGGCTTGCTCGCATGGTTGTCCTTCATCTAGTGTTCTGCCAATCCTATTTAGGATGACTCGAGTGAACAACTTGTAGATGACAGACAATAGGCAGATCGGGTGGTAGTTGCCAATGTCATGGATGTCTCCCTTCGTGAACAGTAGTATGGTCCTGCTGGTTTTCCATTGGGACGGAACCTTGCATTCAGACAGGTAGTGAAGAGCCAAGCCAGTATATTGATGAACACCTGAAGAACCAAGACTCAGAGACTATAAAATCCAGCTCCCGCACGAGAACAGTGCAGTCTTCTGCCCCCGCGCCTGGCTGTTCCTCGCCGGGGCCCCTTGGAGGGGAGCGGGTTGAGCTTTCCTCCCCGCCCCGACCAGGGCTCCGGCAGCCGAAGACCTCCAGGACCAGCCACCACCATGCTGAGACCACTCTCCGCACACATGAAGGTACTGGCAGAGGGACAAAGCCACGCGGGTTCCGGGGCCGAGATCTCCAAGCCTACTCGGATTGGAGCCGAGCATCTTCCACCCAGATCCTCCAAATTCCAGTAGGCAGGGGTCACACCCACCACCCTGGCCCCCTGGCGCCGTGTAATCCCATCAACGGCCAAGACTCAGAGACTATAAAATCCAGCTCCCGGCGGGCCGTGCGACATCTTATCAGGACATCTTTTTATGACATCTTATTATCTCATTCCTACTTTGGACAAACTTACAGGCTATCGAATGTAGCCTGCCCACAGGGCAGAGTCTGGCAAACTCCCTGTGGCGTACCAAATATGCCAAATCCCAGTAACAATGATGGGTCTCATTCTCCTAAAGAGCCTTGAATATAATCTCAGGGCTAGGATGAAAGAGACGTTCTGGGGCCTGCTCGGGGCAATCGACGAATAACAGGATGATGAAATGAAATGAAATGAAATCCCCATGGAGTGCTGAGCCATTGTTTTGGGTCAGAGACGTTCCATGACTTCTCCACCTTGTGGGCCCTTAGACCCTCCCGTGTTGAAGCTGGGGTGGTTTGGAGTCTGCCTCACGTCCAACCAAGGCCCCCATTTTATTTTTTTAATTTTTGTTTGTTTGTTTGCTTTTTGTGTCACACCCAGCAATCACAATCACAATCACAACCATCCTGTTATTCGTCGATTGCCTCGAGCAGGCCCCAGTAACATCTCTTCGTCCTAGCCCTGAGATTTTTTTTTTTTAAAGTGCCATATTCAAGGCTCTTTCAGAGTTAGGAGAATGAGACCCTTCATTGTTACTGGTATTTGGCACATTGGATACTCCACGGGGAGTTTGCCAAACTCTGCCGTGTGGGCAGGTTACATTCGGTAGCCTGCCAGTTTGTCTAAAGTAGGAATGAGATGATAAGATGTCATAATAAGATGTCACGCGCTTCCAGGAGCTGGGTTTTATAGTCTCTGAATCTTGGCCGTTGATGGGATTACACGGCGCCAGGTGGCCAGTTGGTTGGTGTGAGTCCCGCCTACTGGAATTTGGAGGATCTGGGTGGAGGATGCTCAGCCCCAATCCGAGTAGGCTTGGAGATCTCAGCCCCGGGACCTGCGTGCCTTTGTCCCTCTGCCGGTACCTTCATGTGTGCGGAGAGTGGTCTCAGCATGGTGGTGGCTGGTTCTGGACCTTGTTCAAGTTCCCTAAATTCACACCCAGCAATGCACAGGGGTTAATCGCGGCTCTGCACTCAGGAATTACTCCTGGCGGTGCTCAGGGGACCATATGGTGTGCTGGGAATCGAACCCAGGTCGGCTGCGCGCAAGGCAAACGCCCTACCCACTGTACTATCGCTGCAGCCCCAAGGCCCCCAATTTAGGGTGTTAGGAATTGAAACCAATCTGGGGCATCTGAAGCTTAATATGACAACTGCCCAGGATTGTATAGGGATCCACCCCAGCACGGGCATAAAGCAGTCTTCCTGACCTATGGCAGTGCCTTGAGGAAAGAGCATTCAAGAAGCATAAAGGAGAAAGGAAAGCAAATGTTTCACTGGCAGGGAGCAGTCATATTCATGATCCTCTTTGGCGCTCCCTCTCACCCCCCATATATATTTCACAACGTCCTCACTGGGCCTCTAAGATCCAAAGGAAAGCCATGGTCCTTGTTGGGAACCTTGAAGTCAGTGGTACCGACCGACAATCCCCTCGCCACACCAATGCAGTTCAATCAACCCCAAAGTCAATTTTGCAGTCACCATGCGTTTTGTGACAAAGACTGAAATCTGCAGCCAGGAAACAGCATCAGGACCAGCCGCTTGTGTGTGTGTGTGTGGGGGGGGGGGGGGGCGCAGACCTGGAACCGTTGGGTATGAAGCTTCAAGGGAACAAAGCAGGAAACGCGGGGCAGGGGTGCAGAGTGGCCTGTGGGTGGGCAGGTCAGGAGCCCCAGAGCGCAGCAGGAGCAGAGGCGAGGGCACACCCCGACAGGCCACTGGACGGGAACGCGCAGGGTCAGAGGGACAGCGAAGGCCCATGTGGGACTCAGATGCTATCGTCACACTGTACAACTATTAGGGACGGCGGAACAGGGGCAGCCTGTGAGACAGCGGTCTCCTGGAGACCAGCACAGCCCGAGTCACCGCATCCACTGACCCTGGGGACAGCAGCCCCCTCTGCTGTGCATGCAGCTGTCCAGGTCTCTGACCTCACTCCGTCTTGCTATCTCGTGGCTGAGAATAAAACCCATTTCTGAGTGATGGGGAAGAAAAAAGCGCCTGCGAGTTCATGTTGTCTGGGGCGTCCAGGGGGCAGAGAAGGGCTCAACATTGGGGCTCAGGGGAGTTTGGTTTTTTTTTGGCTTTTAGGTCACACCCAGCGATGCTCAGGGGTTACTCCTGGCTCTTCGTTCAGGACTCACTCTTGACTCGGGGGACCCTATGGGATGCCGGGATCAAACTCAGGTTGTCTGTGTGTAAACACCCTCCCCACTGTCCTATGACTCTGGCCCAGGGCTCAGGGCTGGGGACAGTCCTGCCCAGGATTGGAAAATCCTGCAACTTCCCTGATCTCATCCTGTGTATCCTGACTTGGCCACTAGGGGGCAGAACAAGCTGGGGACTGGTGGGGACCGCAGAGGGGCCAGGGGACGTTTTTGATAGTGCCTGGCCTGAAAGGCAGTGTCTGGGGGCTGCCCACCTGCTCCCCCTTCCTCCTCGGGCCCATCCCGTTTCCGAGACTGACCGGCCAGCCCCACCGTGCCCAGTAACACACACAGGCCGGGGATGGACCCACATCCATTTATTCCAACCCCAGTGCAAATAGGACAGCGAATCTCGGGGACAGCAGACCCCTCCACTCCTCCTTCCTCTGTCCCCTGCCACCAATAAATTAGTCCCCACCCCTATTAGGGCCTAGAACCCGGCACTCTGCCAGTTCCAGCCCAGCCCTAGGGTGCCTTCCCCAGCCCGTGTGCGTGCCCCTTCCTTGGCCTGGGGAGCCCAGACGCTAACGTCTGAGTGTGGCCCAGTTTTGATCTGGGCCAAGGGGGGGCATGTTAGCCCCCAAAGTGCCTTTTTCAGGGCTGACACCCCCTTAAGGAGGGTGTCTAAGGCAGTGACCCCTCCACAGCCTCCTCTGAGCAACTCTTTGAGCCTCTGTCTGGTCAGATTATTTGCTTGTTTGGTTTGGGGGGTCTTAGGGCTCCTCCCAGCTTTGTGCTCAGGATCCCATATTGTCCAGGGAAGGACTCGGACCCTTGCCAGCAGCTGACAGTTATCCAGCCTCCTCTTGGGCCTCTGGGACAAGAGTTTTTTTTTGTATTTTTTCAAGATTTTTTTTTCTCATATTTTTTCACTCCTGGCTGTGGTCAGTGCATACAGGATGCCCAAGATCAAACCCAGGTCCTGTGTGAGCAGGAAAACGCCGAACCTGCTGCATGCTCTTCACCTCCGTTTGACCTAATTTTAAGTTAAAACTGGGGGAGAAGCTGGCTGACCCACGCCATGGGCAACCCACTGCGAGTTTCCAGCTTTCCCATAAACCAAAATCTGAAAACAATTGGTGGCAGTTCCTGGGCCAGGTGTGATGAAGTTTCACTTCCGGCCTGTCCCTTTTCTGGCCTCCTGGATAGGGAAGGATTTTTGGCTCCAAACTCCCTGATGTCTAGTGTTAAAAGATATTTCTGTCCCTGGGCACCTGGGCGTAGTGTTTGGGGGCATACTGCCCCAGATGCCCGGCTAGTGTAGGGGGACATTCAAGTCCCAGCCTGGGTGCAGCGGGAAGGACATTATGTGCGCTGGGATCAGACCCAAGGGCACACCGATGTCCCCTAACGCCCGAAGGGGCAAATGCCGGACGGTCCGTGCGCATGAACAGGCATCCGGTGCTTCTCTGTCACAGCTGCTCCTCTGACCTTCACTCTCTTGCCTATTTTTCTTTTTTTTACTGATTTTCACTTTCTTCCCCCAGCTGTGTGAGGATGGGGGAGGCACCACGTTTATGACGCCCATAGCCCAGGCGCGGGCACCGTGATGCAGGCGTGGATGCTTCGATGTCGGCGCATCAGCGTTGCCCCTGGCCCTGCTCACTGGTACAGGCAGTGCCCGAGCTACAGCGAAAGGCCATGCTCGTCCGTCGCTGGGCCCCCACGGGAGTGTTCCTGCCCCTTCCCCTGAGTGAAGGAACAGGACGCGGTGGGAGGGGGCCGGGGGACAGGGACGGGGCTAGATCATGGTGATTTTCACTTGGTCGTTTTCGTCGGCCTTGTAAAAGAAAGGAATACAAGGCGAGCAGGGCGCCGCGCCCAGGCCGGGCTGGTCTTTACAGTTCTGCATCTCCTTCAGCAGCTGGATGATCTTCACAGCCGTGGGGTTGCTAACGGGTGCAGGACCTGCCGGGGCCCCTTCCGGGTTCAGCTCCACAGACCCGGGGCTGCCAGCGTGAGGGGCTTCTGCGGGGCGGGAGAGAGGGGCAGAGGAGGGCGGGCACTGAGCTGAGTGAAGGGCTGCCCCGCCTCGCCCAGCAGCGCCAACCCCCCGAGTCTCTCCTGACCTGTCGGGGCACTGGCCAGGGAGCCAGCGAGGGCCACGGAGGCGGCCTTGGCGCCTTGGCCGGAGTAACTGTCATCCACCAGCATCAACACGAGCTCCTGCAGTTCCAGCAGTTGCACCTGCAGGGGGCAGCAGCGAGTCGGCCCTCCCGCCCGCGGCCCCGCCCCGCCCAGGCCGGCCAGCGCCCACCTTGAGGTTCTCCTTGTCCTGGGCCAGGCGGGTGATGTACTCCTCCTTCTCGCGGTGCCGCTCCTTCAGCACGGCCCGCTGGTTGTGGTAGAGGGTGATGTACTCCCCTGCGAGGCAGACGGGGGCACGGCTCAGAGGCTGGGGGCCCCCCGCGGGCAGCCCCGCGCCGCCCACTCACCGATGGTCTCCGTCTCCCCGGACAGCTGCACGCAGCGGTGCTCCAGCTCCTCCACGCGCTCCCGCAGCTCCACCTTCTCTTGCATGATCTGCGCGAAGCGAGTCTGCAGGGGACAGCGGCTCAGCTGGGCGGGGGAGGGGGAGGGCGCCCACCCGCACCCCGCGGGGCCACCGGCTCACTTGCAACAGGTCCATGGCCTCCTTCAGGGCTGCGTGCGTCTCCTGGGGGACCGTCTGGGCCCCGGGCGCGGGGGCTGCGGGCTGCGCGGCTGCCAGGGCTTGCGCCAGTTCCCGGCTCCGGACTCTCTCGGCCCCCAGCTGCCGGCGCAGCTCCGCCCGCTCCGAGTCTGCCTGCGCCAAGGCCGAGTTACAGAACTCCAGCTGCGGAGGAGAGGGGGCGAGGGCTGGGCCCGGAGAGCACCCCTTAGGGCGCCTCGCGGTACGGGGAGTCTCCCAGGGAGGGGAGGGTCAGCGGCAGGGGAGGGAGGGCCGAGGGCTGGGCTCACCATGGCCTCCCTGTCGTCCAGGTCCCCAGGCAGGCTCAGCGTCCTCGGGGCCGTCTCCTGTTCCTCGTCCCCGTCCCCGTCACTCGCTGTGGGGCAGACCAGGGTCTCAGACACCCGAGGGAGCCGGGGGGGGGGGGGGAACCCCAGCGGTTGCTCCCGCCGGCCCGGCACTCACCCATCCCCGTGCCCGGCGCCAGCAGCGCACTCAGCTGGGCCTGGAGCTGCTGCTTCTGCTCCTCGGTGGCCTTCAGGAGCCCCTGGGGGGGAGGGCGCGTGAGGGGGGGAGGGCGCGTGAGGGGGGGCGGCCGCAGTCCTCTGCCTGGCCCGGCCTGCGCTCACCTGCGCCTCGTCCAGCGCGTCCTGGCCCTGCGCGTGCTCGTGCTGCAGCCGGTCCAGCTGCTGGGCGTGGAGCAGCGCCTGCTGCTGCAGCTGCTCCTTCTCGGCACCCAGCTGCTGCCAGGCGGCCGCGTACTGCTGCAGGTGGCCCAGGTACTGGTCCCTCTGCTGCTGCAGCGCCTGCGCCTCGCTGGCCCTCGCCTGCACCTGTGGGCCCCGGGCGTGAATACAGCGGAGGGGGCCGGGCCCAGGTGGGGCTCCTGGCCAGGCAGGCGGCCCCAGCGGGGTCACTGCACAGCCTGGCCAGGGACCCGGGCCTGCCCCGCCTGCCTCCCCCAGGACCCACACGCGCTGTGGGCCCCGAGGCCCAGGGCTGCGGTGGCCGTGATGGGAGCGGCCTGTTGCTCAGGCCCGGCCTCCCGGCCCTCGCCGGCCCCCCGCCTGCTCCCGCTCGGAGGTGCCCCGCGCCGCCCCGTTACCGTCTCCTTCATCTCCGCCAACTTCTCCTGCAGCTGCCCCAGCCGCTCCGCCAGCTGCTCCTTGACATGCTGTTCCGACTGCAGCGCACACGTCACCTCCATGTTCTCGTTGCTCTGAGGATGTGGGCCGGTCAGCGTCCCCCGCCGGCCCCCGCCGCCCCTCCCGGCCCTCCCCCTGCACGGCCGTCGGACCCTCGGCCTCATGGACAGCCCGCTGCCCGGCGCGAAGGTCCGGGGAGGCGGGGGCGCACCAGCTTCACGAAGCCGTCCTGCAGCTCGGCCAGCTGCTGCTTGAGCTCGCGGTTCTGGGCCAGGGCGCGCGTGATGGTCGTGCGGTCGTTCTCCATCGTCTCCAGGATGCGGCCGCGCGCCTCGGCCTGCTCGTTCCACACCTCGGCCTCCCGCTCCAGCTGCAGCAGCCGCTGGCCCTGCTCCGCGTTCAGCTGGCTCAGGCTCTGGTTGTCGCGCACCTGCGTCTGCAGCTGCTCCGCAAGGCTCGCCACCTCCTTCCTCCACTTCTCGGCCTCCGCCTGCAGCTGCACCTCCAGCTCCGAGGGCCCGGGCGGCGGCGGCGGGGGCTCCTGGGGGGCCGGGGTCTCTGGAACGGGGGACGGGGGGACAGTCCATGCCCAGGCCCAGCGCGACCCTCTGGGTCCCCAGCCTGACTTGGGGCTCCCTCTGTCTGGGCGGACTGCAACATCTCGACCCCCTGAAGTTCGAGCCCCTGACTAATAGCTTGTCCTTTGTCAGCTTAATCAGAGTCCCAGGCAGTGCTGGGGGTGGCCCGCGGGACACAGAGAACTCAGGCTCCGACTCCCAGACAGAGGCTTCTCTGCAGCTTTACGGCCCGAATATTCAGGGACAGGGTGTCAGGGGGTAGGAATCAATGGGACCCCAGAGCTATCTGCCACCCCGCGAGAGGACACCGACCAGCTCCTGCTCTGCACCTCTCCCAGGCCACAATGCCCCTCCCACTGGGCCGCCTTCCAATATGACACCAGCCCCGCCAGAAACATGCCCCACACGGCCACACCCCGACACCCTGACTCCGTCCCCCACCCCTGGGACTCACCGAGCCGCGCCTTTAGGTCGGCCATGCTGGCCTCCAGCTCCTGAATGTATCTGACGTTCTTCTCGTTCTCGTCCTTAAACGTCGTGCTCTGCCCAGACACGGGGACCATAGCATGGGGGTTGGGGGGCACCCGACCCCTGGCACCACGGGCAGGGCCTGAGCACCGCCAGGGTCTCTTGTGAGCTCAGTGTGGAAACCCCCCCCCCCCCCCCCCCCCCCCGCAGGCCCGAGCGGCCCGGCGCCCGCCCGCACCTGCTGCAGGGCCTGCTGCACGCGCTGCTGCCAGAACTCGTCCTGGGCCCTGATCTGCTCCAGGTGCTGGTCCCTCTCCACCTGCAGCTGCTTCAACAGTCTCTTGAGCTGCGGGACAGTGGCCGTCAGCCCCCACCCCGCACCCCGCCCACCCCCGCCCTCGCTGCCCCTCCCGCCTCACCTCTTCAATCTCTCTCTCCATCTGCTTCCTCTCGCCCAGCGCCTCCACGGCCTGGGGGTCGCTGCCCGGCCCTTCCGTTGGGCCCGTGAACTGCAGGGAGAGAGGAGGTCAGCGCAAGACCAGGCTGGCCAAGGTGGGCCCCAAGGGTCTCCGAGCCCCGAGCCTGCCCGTCACCTGCAACAGCAGCAGCTCCGTCATCTCCAGCTTCTTCTGCAGGTCGGCCACGCTCTGCTGGGTAACGTCCGTCTCCGCCTGCGACACGCGCAGCTTCTCCCGGAGCTCGCTCACCAGGTCCTTCAGCTCCGCCACGCTTTTGCTGCAGCCGAGCGGGCCGAGGGGCAGGAGTCACGGGCGGGGGTTCTTGGTGCTGGCCCATGGCTGGCGTGGGCACAGCACCCACCGCCCAGGCCCCGGCCCAGGCCCCCCAAGCCCTCCACCACCCCCTAGACCCACTCCTACTTTTTCTGGAACAATTCTGTTTTCAGATCATCGCGTTCCTTGGTTAACTCCTTGGCATGCTGCAAATCCAGCGAGCGAGTCACGCGGGGCAGGGAGCACCCCGTCCCGCCCATCCACCTGTGTTCGGGCCTCTGGGCATAGAGAGGGGAGGAGGGGCAGCCCCCGGCCCCGGCAATGCCCTCCTGTGCCGACCCTCAGGATTGCGACGGCCGCCAGCTAGTTTCCAGCCAGCAGGAGGCCTCGCTGAGGCCCTCGGACACCCAGGCCCCAACACAAGCCTCACAACACACTCCTGGGTCTTCACAGCCCCAACTCCCAGCACAGGCCGGGCCACAGCCAGGGAGGGGCCCCTGGGGTCTCTAGACAGCCCCCACCTCTCCAGGGAGCAGGGGGCGCTATCACTCTCAGGCTGAGCAGCGAGTCCTGCCCTGGCCCCGGGCAGTCCTGGGTGCGGGAGGCGGCTCACCTTCTCGTCCTGCTTCTGCCGGGTGGCCAGGGCCGACAGAGTGCGCTCCAGGTCCCCCACGCGCTGCCTGGATGCATGCAGGTTCTTGGTGACATCCTCACACTCCCCTGAGAGACAGAGATCACCTGGAGCCCCTCCCCGAGGCTGGGCGGGCAGGGTTGGGGTCGGGCGGGGACCCACCTGTCTTCTGCTTCATTGCCTGCTGCGTGTGCGTCAGCGCCGTGTACAGGTCCGACTTCTCGGACACGAGGATCCCGATGGTCTGAATGTGAACCTGTGGGGTGGGACCGTCGGTGAGGTCGTGGCAAGCCGCGCGGGGGGCCCGGGGAAGCGTCCACGCACCTGTAACTGCTCACGCAGAGACCCTTGTTCTTTGGCGAGTTTCTGCTCAAATTCCTTCTTCTCCTGCGGGTGTGGCGCATCTTACTGGGTGGTCAGCGGCAGCAACCCGCCTGGGGCCTCCCCCAGTGCTACCAAGAGCCCAGGTCAGGCTCCGAGAAAGGGCACTGGCAGGCACTGGCACATGGCCGGTGAGCTGGGTTTGATTTCCAGAAATCCAGAAGGTCCCCCCCAGAAATCCAGGGGTGATCCCTGAGTGCAGCGGAGCCAGGAGTAAGCCCTGAGCACCACTTGTGGCCACAAGCCAAGGAAACCGAGACACCAGCGAGACCGGGCAAGTTGCCCGCCTGGAGGGGGAGGTCGGGCGGGGAGGAGCGGGGCAGGATGGGGCCATCGCTAGGGGCAGCCCAATGGACGTGATGCCCAGGGGTCGGCCCCTGCCCGAGAAGCTCCTCACCTTCTCCAGCTGAGCCACAGTGCACTGGTGCTGATGTTGCTGTGGAGAGAGGCAGGGACAGGTGGGGACCCTCTGGAAGCCATCCCTGACCAGAGGCGGACAGGCAGGGCTCAGGAGGGTTACACGGAGCTCTCTGGGCGTCCGGAGACAGCACCAGGGCAGCGGCCCCCCGGGATGCACCCCGCACCTCCAAGGGACCCTGAGCCCAGCCAGGAGCGAGGCCTGCGCTAGAGACAGCAACAGCCTGAGGCCCCGGGCCTGCTCACAAGGAAACACAAGGGGTCTCCCTGAGCTGCTGGGCCGGGGTCCAGCTCCCAGCCTCTGATACAAGCACTGGTCTCCAGGGGGAAGCTGAGGGTCGGCTTGGGGACAAGGTCAGGGCCCCCCGCCGAGGGTCTTTGAGACCAGGCAGGGGCCTTCACTCCAAGCCTCCTGGAGCCCTGGGCCGAGCTGGTGCCTGTAGAGTTGTGCCCTGACGCCCAGTAACCCGAGGTGAGGACCCAGCCATGGGGGCGCCACAGCATACCCTCCCTCCAGAGAAGAGAGTTGGCGATGGGGGCCCCTGAGAGGCACCTCATGGTCAGCAGGGACCCCTGGAATCCCCTTCTCCCTGGCACCCACCCGCTCTGTTCAGCATCCCAAGGGGCACTGGTCCCCAGTCTGGCAGGGTGGGCCCCGGGACCCCGCCTCTTCTTACCAACTCAAGGATCTTGTTGGTAAGGTCTTTCTTCTCCACGTTGCTTTGGTCCAGGGCGAGGGATATTTCTTGGTACCGACTCTGAGGCACACGTGGTGGGGACAGGGACAGGGGAGAAGAGTCAGGTTTCAGGGCCGTCTCCCCAGGCAGGAGTCCCGGGCTCTGCCTCCCGCGGGAGTTTCCTTTCCCCACTGGGGCCCTCCCCAGGCCTCGAGGGGTTGGGGCCAGTGTGGCCTGTGGGTTGCCGGATTACGTGGCCACCCAGCTGTCCAATACTCACCTCCAGGGTTTTCAGGCTAGTCGGTGACATGACGCCTTGGCCTTTCAAACAGGGAGATGGCTGCGGATAAAAGCACAGACACACTGTCCCCTTGACGTCTGACCCCCACTGCCTGTTCCGGGTCAGCCTTTTCTGCTTCACTTGGCCCTTCCACTGGGAATTCTTTATTTTTTTTCCCTTTTGGGTCACACCTGGCAAAGCACAGAGGTTACTTCTGGTTCACGCACTCACGTATTACTACTGGCGGTGCTCAGGGGACCATAAGGGATGCTGGGAATCGAACCCGGGTCAGCTGCGTGTAAGGCAAATGCCCTACCCGCTGTATATTTCTCCAGCCCCTTCCACTGGGAATCCTTTGGGCCAATGCTTTCCCAGTCTTGAGGGCCTTGGCCTTTAGGTTCCTCGGGATTCTTTCCTGTTCCCCACTCAGCCCCCGCCACCCCCGTCCGGTTTCCTGAGCTGGAGAACCTGTGCCTGGGCCTGACTGACCCTCTCATTTTATGGTTCCCTATTGCACTCAGAGAGGGAATAAGGACAAGCCAGGGCCAGAGCAATAGCACAGCGGGGAGTGCATCTGCCTTGCACTTGGCTGACCTGGGTTCGATTCCCAGCATCCCATATGGTCCCCTGAGCACGGCCAGGAGTAATCCTTGAGTGCATGAGCCAGGAGTAACCCCTGTGCATTGCTGGGTGTGACCCAAAAAGCAAAAACAAAAAAACAAAATAGCAGAGGACATCAAAAATAAAGATTTGGGCTGGAGCAATAGCACAGCAGGTAGGGCGTTTGCCTTGCATGTGGCTGACCCGGGTTCGATTCCCAGCATCCCATAGAGTCCCCCGAGCACCATCAGGAGTAACTCATGAGCACAGAGCCAGGAGTAACCCCTGTACCTCACCAGGTGTGACCCCAAAAAGCAAAAGGAAAGGACACTAAACACCCCCCTGCCGTTCCTGCCTCCGTTGCGCAGATGATCCTCCTCCGCCCCCCGAGGGCATATTGGGGGTACCTCGGAGACGAGTCCATTCAGTTTCTGAGACAGCTGGCGCAGACTCTCGGTCGAGGACGTGAGCCCACCCAGGGGGCCGGCGTCTGACGCTCTCGGTTCACTCTGCCCGTTCTGCGTTCCGAGACTCTAGTGGGAGAGATGCGTGCTGGGCCGCCCGGCATGGGAGCCCAGCTCATCCCCGATCCTTAGGAAAAATCTGCTCCTGGGCCCCACCCCGAGGCCTGGCTTGCGGGAACGAGAGACAGACGGACAAAAGGAGGTGACAAACCGAAGCTGATGCGGTGCTGCTGTCTCGGGCTGGGGATGAAGGAACACTTGGTGACTGAGAGTCGTCCGGAGAGGGCTGCTGGGGGGCTTGGTCCTGGGGTTCCTGTCACAGAACAGAGCGGGGAGGGTCAGGCAGGAAGGGGGCACTGGGTCTGGGGGTGCAGGGTGCTGAGCGGGGAGCACAGGAGCTGCAGCCAGGACAGTCACCCCAAGCCTGGGCTCAAAGCGGGGACTCGCCCGCCACCCTGGTCCCCAAGGAGGTCTGAGCGGCGGCGGCCTGTGGACAGTCAGGAAGGCCCACTGACCCAGTGCCCACAGGCCCAGGCACCGTGGCCCCACAAGTTGGCCTGGCTGGCTCCCCCGTCTTGGGGTGGGGGTTGGCTCTCTCAGACCCTCAGACTGGTCCCTGACCCCCAATCAACTGCCCCCTTAGAGCCATGCCAGGTTTGCTGAAGCTGAGACCTTTGGGTTGGAACCTGACAGTGGCCACGGCACCCTCAGCCCAGAAGGCAGCAGGGCAGGCGGGGCCTCTGGCACTTTGGGGGGGCTGGCACCCCTGGCCGGGCCCCCCCCCCCAGCCTCTTGGCTTCAGACAGGCAGGCTCAAAAGAGGGAAGGACTTTGGGTCAGACAACTTCACGGCACTGTGCAGACTAGTTTGGGAGACACGAGGTCCACCCCACTCCGAGTGCTGAGCTAAGTCTGTGGGTGAGAGAAGCCCCGCCCCTCCGTGCACACCTTCCCCCGCCCCGCCCAGATCCATGCAAACATCTTATTTCTCGGGTCATCCCCAAGCCATCGGCTCTCCCGGCACAGGACAGAAATGGGGGCGAACACAGGGCTGGGCAGAGGGGGGGTTCACCAGCCACAGCCACAGGGAGCTCCGGGGGACAGAGCGGGGCGGGGGCAGAGGATGGGCGCAGACGCTGGGCTCCCCCGGGGACCGCCCACAGGTGAGTCACGGCACCTGGATGGACCTGAGTGTCGGGTGTGAGCACAGCCCCAGGGGAGCCGCGGACAGAGCCAGGCCGCGCCAGGCTGTCTTCCTCCCCCTGGGCTGGCAGCTGCCCCAGGAAGTGAGCTGCCGGATGCCAGCATCGCATCCGGAGGCCTCACACCCGGCTCGGGGGCAGCGGCGTCTGCGCCTCCTGTGAGTGTTCTGGGCGCTTCACCTCGGCTGTCCCTTGGCCCCTGCACACCAGACGCAGGACAGTGTGCCCATCCTCAGCACAGCGGCCTCACGGACGGCTCTGCCAGCCCTCTGCCCCTATACGCCACCCCCATCCCTCCTGCTGAGAACCCGCAGTGCACGGTTCTCCCGCGTTCGCCTTGGCCCCCAGGACCTGGGCCATGGCTGTGGAGTCTTAGGTGATGACGCCGAGTGTGCAGTGGGTTTGAGAAGCGAGAGTGGAACGGAACGTCCTGGTCCCTCAGCCCCCTCCGTTACTGTCAGCTCTGGAGGCTGACGCCATGCTGCCTCCGGCACGCTCCCTTGCCCACCCCCACATTCTCTTCTCCGGATAAAACAGATTCAACCGTCCCCCCAACCCCCCCGGGACCACACTCTTAGTGCACAGGGGTTACTCGGGCCTCAGTGCTCAGAGATCAATCTGTGAGGGGCTCAGGGGCCGACATGGAGTTAGAGAATCAAGCCCAACCAAGGGACTCACCCATTATTGTTTTTTTTTTTTCTTTTTGGGTCACACACAGCAATGCTCAGGGGTTACTCCTGGCTCTGCACTCAGGAATTACTTCTGGCAGTGCTGGGGAGACCATATGGGATGCCGAGATCGAACTCGGGCAGGCTGCGTGCAAGGCAAACGCCCTACCCGTTGTACTATCGCTCCAGCCCCTGGACACACCCATTGTACTAACACTTGTGCTCCAAATTCAGCACTCTGTAAAGACAGAAAGTGTATGCGGGGCTCTAGGGACCCTTGCGGGCCGGACACGCCAAAAGAGGGCCAGGCCTGGGGGAGGATGTCCCTCATCTGGAGCACATGTGAGGCTTGGGAGTCCTCCCCACACACCTGCTCTGGAACAACCCCAACCTTAACTTTCAAGGTGAAAGTCATCAGTTCCCTGATTGTTTGTTTGTTTGGTTTTTTTTTTTTGGGGGGGGGTTATGCCCAGCTGCACTCAAGATTTATTCCTGGCTCAGTGCTCAGAGATCACTCCTGGCAGGGCTCAGGGGACCACATGGGCTGCCGGGCTTGCCTCAGGTCGGCCACATGCAATGCAGGCACCCTGCCACCGCACTCTCCCTCCAAGCTCCTGCTCCCAGATGTTAAGAGACAGGGAGAGGGAAAAGTCACCGCCCAATCCCAATCGACCCGGCAGGCAGGAAGCAGAGAGGACAGCCCGGGGGGGAGAGCAGAGCGACGCACAGCAGCAGGGAGCAGCCCGGGCACATGCAGAGCTGGCAGAGAGCACGGCAGCGGGCGCCCGCCTCACCTGCCACTCGGCCAATGGGGACAGCGCGACCCCATTGGAGCGGTTAAGGTCGCACACCAGCACCTCCAGTATGTCCTCAATCTAGAGGCGGCGAGAAGGGCGGGGCAGACGAGGGCCAGGAGAAAGAGGGCAGTCAGAGAGAGGCCAGGGAGCCGGGCGGGGGACGCGGGCAGGCCCCGGGTCCCGGCAATGAGATGCTGCAGGAGGAACACCAGGGGACCTTCGCGGAGGCCAGTGCCCGGACACACGCGGCCGTGACTGCAGGCTCCCCGGTCCGAGGCCAGGCTCTGCTGGGCGGGCACTGAGTCCCTCTCACCAGGCCCAGGAGGACGGGGAAGACCCCAGCGGGGCCACGACCCCCACCCCTGCTCCATGCTAGGTACCAGAACTTCCAATGAAGGGGTTTGCTTGAACAGAGGGAGCCAAGCGGACGTTTACTCCCAAAGGCCCAGACCTGATCCGACCTGGCAGGTGCCGGCCAACACGGGAGCCCGCTTTCCCTGAGGTCCCCTCAGGCTGGTGGCCGAGGGACACTCCCGCCCACGCGCTCCTGACTCTGTCTCCGAGGCCCAACTTCCCAGGAAAAGGCAACAGAGCTGAGGCTTGAGAGTCCAATCTCTGGATTCTCAGCTTGTAAGCCCTAGAGCAGCGGTGGGATCTGGCCTGGTTGGAACCTGCCCATCCCCCGCTGAGGCAGTGCGCCCACCAAGGCCTGAGCAGAACCTGGGGTTCCCGCCCGTGTACCCCTCCCCCACCACCCTGACCACTCCGCCACGCCCCTGCAGCACCCCATTCCTCCAGGGCCTGGGCAGTCGCCCAGGGCAGGACTCACTCCCTTGGGCAACTGGTGGCCCTCGCCAGCTGTGCCGTCCTGGTCGCCGTCTCTGCACTTCTTCTTCTTCTTGCCATTCTTCCCAGGAATGATGTTATGTTTGATCTCATAGTCGCGGAGCTGTAGAAAAGCACAGCGACTTGTTTTTCTCCCTCTGCTTTCACAACCTGCCTGACAAAGTCATTGCAGACTTGGCTTGACTGGCCCCCAAGGGAGGCCGCAACTCTACAAGGGGTTGAAAGGGCTGAAAACAGCAGGTGGAGGGCCCAGAGATGGAGTTTAACTCTTTTTTGTGGGTTTCTTTTGTATTTTGTGTCACACCCATGGATGCTGAGAGGTGACTCCTGAGTCTGCACTCAGGAATTGCTCCTAGTGGTGCTGAGGGGCTTTATGGGATGCTGGAGATCGAACCTGGGCTGGGTCGGCTGTGTGCAAGGCACATGCCCTACCCACGGTACTATTACCCTTAACTCCACTTCTAATTCCAAATTATGTTTTTTTTCCTCAAACCAGCAGCTGCCAGGAGTCACACCAGAGGTGGTCAAAGCAGAGAAGACAGCTTGTAAGTCCTGGAGATGGGGCGGGGGTCCCACCTTCGTGAGAACCCGCCTCTTCTTTCACAGCTGCGCCCAGCTACCCTCAGGGACCTGAACACAGCAGAGGACAGCCCAGGACCCCAACCCTCACGCCCCCCAAGCTTTGCCTAAAGCTTTCTCGCAGGGCAAGCCTGCAAACGGAGGTCTTAAGACCCCACTTTATTCTGTCGCTGTGAGGAGGGGGATACTCTGAAGGCAGAGACCCTACTCTTAAGTTCACTTTCTGGGGAATCTGTCCCACCAACTCATCCCAGAGAGAGCCCTGACTGGGGGCCGTGGGCTATCGGTAAAAGGGGCGAAAAAAATCAGGTGAACGTGGCAAAGTGCCTTGGAGACCAAGAAACCCGGGAGAAAAAAAAAAAAAAACTAAACTGTCACCAGGGCGGGAGAGCGAGTTCCAGGGGGGAGGTACGACCCAACTTCCATGAGGTCCCAGGCACAGCGAGGAGTGACCCCAAGCACTGCTGGGGGGGGGAGGGGGAGGTCCCAAAACAAGTGTCCCTCTTGGAGACGTGGCCAAAGCTGCGGGCACTCTCACGTCCAAGCGAGGGCCACGGCCTCCACCTGAGCCCACGGTCCCTTGTCCCTTCCGGGCTGGAAGTCGTGGGGGGGTGGACCCAGAAGCCGGAAGCGGGGTGACGCTCTCGGGGCTGGTCGCCTTGGTCCCTGGGGTCTCGGACGGGCTTGGGGACGCCGAGGGCAGGTGCGAGGGGGACCCTGACTCCTCCCCCTCCCGGGCACTTGCTGCCCCGCCGCCCCCCCGAGGTCCGGGAGCCCAGGACGTCCGGCTCCGGCTCCGGTTCCGGGGGCAGGGGAAGGGTCCGGGCGCCGGAGGGGAGCGTCCGAGTCGCCGGCCCAAAGTCACCGGAGTCACGGGGAGGGCGGGGGCGGGACGGCCGGGGGGGGGGGCGGGACGGGCTGCACCAGGGGCCCAGGGGGCCACGCGCCCGCGCCCTGCTGGCCCGAGGGCCCGGGCTGGCCCGGCAGCCCCTTCCCGGCGCTGTTCCTTACCATCTTCCGGGCGGACGCAAGCTTCATTTTCCTAGTTTCTTCCATGTTCAACTTCGGGGGGGGGGTGGGAGTCTGGCCACTTCTCGCGATTTCCGGGCGTCAGCGACGCTCTCTCCCCCCCCCAGCGCACTGAGACGCCGCGAGAGCGAGCCGGGAGGGGCGGGGCCAACGCAAGCCATTGGCTGGGATCGTGGGCGTGGCCCAGTTCCTCTCATCCCATTGGCCGGAGGGGAAATCCAGCCCTCCCGGAAGTCCTGGTCGGGCCCGCAATTGTCAACGTCACGCAGTGCTTGGCTGCGCGCGCAGCGGGCCGGCGCGGCGGTGGGCGGGGCCTGGCGGAGGCGCCCGGAGCGTTCCGAGCCGCTTCCGGCTGCGCGGCCGGAGGACGGGCTGGGTGCGTGACGGGCGCTCCCCGGTGCCCACCCTGGACCCTCCGGCTCTGCACAGCCCCCCAAGATGGGGGCTCCGATCGCCCCGGCCCCAAGGGTGAGCGCGGGGCGTCGTCAGCCGTCCGGACTCTCCGTAGCCGGAGATCACACGCGGCGGTCGGCCCTCCGTGGCGCGCGAGAAAGCGGGTTCGGTCCCCGGCACCGCCTGCTCCCCCGAGCGGGAGCCGGGAGGCGCCCCCAGGTCCCCCCCGAAGAGCGGGTTTCCCGGCCCCGCGGCCGCCCGCTTGCAGCCCCTTCGCCCCCCGCCCGGTCCCGCGCTCCACGCCGCCTTTCCCTCTCTCCTCTGCAGGACTCACCCGGGTCTGTCCAGAAGGGGCCGCGGGGCCTTCCGATCCCCGGTGAGTGTGCGGTCCCCTTTGCCCTCCACCCTCCTATAGTGGCTGCTGGACACCCGGCACTCAGGCCCACCCCCAGCCCGCCAGACCCCTTGGAGGCCGCCTTATTCTGCAGGGAAACTCGAGCCTTGTACCAATTGTTCCACTTCTCCTACTGTCACCTCCAAGGGTTGCAGAGGCTGGACATTGGGGGGGTGGGAGTGGGCAGCCGCGTGCAGAGCAAGCGCCCTTGCTCAGGCTGCAGGCAGCATTTTTTTTTCTTTTTGGGTCACACCTGGCGATTTACAGGGGTTACTCCTGGCTCTGCACTCAGGAGTTACTCCTGGCGGTGCTCAGGGGACCATATGGGATGCTGGAAATCGAACCTGGGTCGGCAGCCTGCAAGGCAAATGTCCTACCTGCTGTGCTCTCACTCCAGCCCCTGAGGCAGTGTTTTTCTTCCAGCTCCTTCCACGCTGCGCTGCCTCTTCTTCCTTTCAGGTTGAGTTTCCTTCCAGAAGCCTCGCTATCTTCTGCCCTGTTACACAGAACCCCAGTTTCCAGACTTGTGAACTGGGGCCAGAGAGACAGTGCAGGGTTTGTGTTTGTGTTTGTTTTTGTTTTTTTATTTTTGGGTCACACTCTGTGATGCTCAGGGGTTACTCCTGGCTCATGCACTCAGGAATTACTCCTGGCGGTGCTCAGGGGACCACTGGGAATCGAACCCGCGTCGGCCGCTTGCAATGCAAATACCCCGATAGTGGTTAAATACCCCGATAGGGGTTAAAGTGTTTTCCTAGCATGTGCCCCATCCCCGCTCGCCACAGAGAGTCCCTCAGCCCTGCACAGAGCCAAAAGTAAGCCTTGAGCACTGTCCAGTTGGCCCCAAGAGCAAACAAAAGACACTTGCTTGATATGTAAGTGATGGCTGAGGTCCCCTGAGCCCAGCCAGGAATGACCCCTAGTACAGCCAATCCCTGCCTTGTTAGAGGCTGACCTGTGTTTGATCCCTGGCACCCCATACGGTGGTCCCTCAGCAACACCAGGCTGAACCTGAGTGCAGTGCCAGGAGTAAGCCCTGAGCACCGCCCAGGGTATCCCAAAAAAGCAAAGAAAGCAAGCAGCACCCCGAGTGATAGTACAGCGGGGAGGGCGTTTGCCTTGTACTCAACCACCCCAGGTTCGGTCCCTGGAATCCTATGTTCTCCTGAGCACCACCAGGAGTGATTCCTGAGTGCTGAGCCAGGAGTAACCCCTGAGCATCTCCAGGTGTGACTTTTAAAAAAAAAAAGAAAGAAAATAATACAGTGAACTATATTTGCTCTGTGTTGACAAGTTCCGAAACATCAGGACAAGAGTGTGTTTTAGGAGTGACCACTGTAGACATTTTCATCGGGGAAACCTTTTTTTATTTTTTTTCTTTTTGGGTCACACCTGGTGATGCACGGGGTTACTCCTGGCTCTGCACCCAGGAGTTACTCCTGGTGGTACTCAGGGGGCCATATGGGATGCTGGGAATCAACCTGGGTTGGCTGCGTGCAAGGCAAACGCCCTACCCACTGTGCTATCTCTCCAGCTCCTTTATTTTATTTTTAATTTATTATTGTGGGCCACACCCAGCAGTACTCAGGGGCTACTCCTGTTTTGGTGCTCAGGGGCCGGTGGTTCCCACGGGTGCTGGGGGTGGGTGGGCCCTGGAGTCCAGCATGCGAGGCTGCACTCAGCCTGGGAGCTCATCCCCTGCCCGAGAGGCCTGATAATGGGTGACCTGATGACGCCTTCCGTGGAGGCAGCTTTACTGGGGGTCTGGACTGGGGCGTGGGCACTGTGGTTCCTGAGGGCCCGAGGGGCAGGCTGGGCGCTGACCCACAGGGCCCTGCTTTTTCCTGGGTGTCTCCTCGGCGTGTGGGTGGCTGCTCTGACCCATTTCCTGCAGAAGGGGCATGGGGCTCAGCCGCAGGAGGGGGCAGCGTGAGGGGGTTCGGTATCAGCCTGGGCTTTCTCAGGGCCGTCTCTAAGGGGAAGCGGGGATGAGACCTGCATGGGGCCCCAGGTCCGATTCAGGCTCCACAGCTTCAACCCACCAATCTGGCCCCTCTCGGGGTTCAGAGCCTGGCGGGGCCCTTCGAAAGGGGCTCTGGGCGGCTGGGGAGAGAGCACGGTGGGTAGGGTGTCACCCATGAGGTCCCCAAGTGCCACTCGGACGGGCTCCCGAGCGGGGCCAGGAGGAAGCTCTGGGTACGCTGGCAGGCCCCAAAGCCTAGGTCAGGCGAAGATGAGGACAGGAGGGGCCTCCGGGGACCAGTCCCGGCCAGGGCCCACCCAGGACTGCCCACCCCGCCTGCCAGGATGTCATTAGCACAGTGGCTTCCTAGGGAGGCTGGGAAATGTCATCGGGGGCAGGGAGGGTCGGGAGTGGTTCTTGGGGGACATCTGGAAGGTTCTGAATTGTGGCTAATGCGGGGGCACCCCCCTGTTTTCCGGGCTCTTAGCGACCCTCTCCCAAGGCGGCCCAGGCTGATGGCGCCAGCCGGGGCTCCCTGCACCTTGACGTGGAGAGACTGAGGGAGGAGAGAGACTCGCTGGAGCGGGAGATCGCCCAGCTCCTGTCTGAGTAAGTCCCAGGCCCGGCCGGAGGTGATTTGGAAGGAGCATCCAGAACCGGCGTGTAAGCCAAGTGGGGGGACTCAGGGGTCCCAGCGGCCTCTCAGACTGGCCGAGGGACGGGAGGCTATGCGGGAATGAGGCCGCCTTTGGGTTTTTCTCTTTCAAAGGCACCTTCCCCTGCCCCCGGGGTGCCTGGGTGGGCCTGACCCAGGTGGCTGTGCCTGTCACATCTCACTGCCTGACTTGCGGGGTCTCTGAGTCCTGTGGCAGTCGGCAGTGCTGTTGTGGGGACCCCTCTAAAGGATTTGGGAAACTTGTGCTGGCATGAAGGCCGGGCAGACCCTTGAAGTCCTGTACACCCCTGATGGCAGGCGCTGTCGTGCCAATGCCCCCAGCCCAGTGACGCCACCCTCAGGGCCCCCTGAGCATGTCCCTCCCGTGTGGGTGTCTGTGGGTGTCTATGACTCTGGGGTTTTTTTTGTTTTGTTTTGTTTTGTTTTTTGCTTTTTGGGTCACACCCGGTGATGCACAGGGGTTATTCCTGGCTCTTCACTCAGGAACTACACCTGGCGGTGCTTGGGGCGGGTGAGGGTGGGGGGAACCATATGGGATGCCGGGGATCGAACCCGGGTCAGTCGCTTGCAAGGCAAATGCCCCTTCCCCGCTGTGCAATCGTTCCGGCCCCTGTCTGTCTATTCTTGTGCCCCACCCTGCAGTGCTGCAGTGCTCGGGAGCTACTCTTGCTCAGTGCTCCCCGGTAGATCTTGAATTAAGCGTTTCATACTCTGAACCCCGGGCTGGAGCGATAGCACAGCGGTGGGCATTTGCCTTGCATGCAGCCAGCCCGGCCGAGCCGGGTTTGATTCCTCCACCCCTGTCGGAGAGCCCAGCAAGCTACCGAGAGTATCTCGCCTGCATAGCAAAGCCTGGCAAGCTACCCGTGACATATTCAATATGCCAAACACAGTAACAACAAGTCTCAAAAAAAATGGAGATGTTACTGGTCCCGCTCGAGCAAATCGATGAACAACGGGAGGACAGTGACAGTGACTCTGAACCCCGGGCCCTGAGCCACATTTTTTTGGTGGGGTCTGGCAGCCTCACCCAGCAGTGCTCAGGGCTTCCCCTGGCTCTGCTCCTCAGGGATCAGTCCCAGCAGGGCTCGGGGCCGTGGGGGTCTGTGTGGCACCGGGGACCAAAGCTGGGTCAGCTGCACGCCAGGCCAGGCCAGCGCGCTCCCCACCGTCCTTCTGCGTGTGATCCTCATTGCTCGCGGCTCTTCCCCAGCGGCCTCTGCGTGGAGGAACTGGACGAGCACATCTCACGGCTCCACGAGTACAACGACATCAAGGACGTGGGCCAGATGCTGCTGGGTAAACTGGGTGAGCCACGGGGGGGTCACAGAGGCACCCGGCCTCGCCCCTGGACACCCCGACCCCTCCCTACTGCCCTCCCCTCCCCCCAGCGTCCCCCAGCCCACCGAGGAAACCGCTGTCCCGCTCTTAGCCCAGCTCCCAGCTGGGGGCCTGGGAAGGGGACTCCTGTGGGCCCCAGGGGTGCTGCTGGGGGTCCCAGGCAGGGGGGGATGCCCTTCAGGTCCCTCCCCTGAGCCCCGGCCCCCACATCCTCTTCCAGCTGTGCTCCGAGGGGTCACCACCAAAGAACTGTACGCGGAGTTTGACCTGGACTTGAGCGACTGAGCCCACACTCGCCCCAGACCACCCCTGGCCCTGCGCACATGAGCTGAGCACTGAGTTCCCAGCAGGAACACACCAGCACCGTATTTCTAAATAAGCCAAGAGGGGTCAGGCGGAGGCCCCCAGAGAGAAGGAAGGGCCCAGAGCAAGCGTCCCCCCCGCCTCAGGTTCTCCAATGTGCTGAGTTTCTGTGTCAATACTTTTTTGTAAATAAAGATGTGAATCTCACATGGGGGTGTCTGTCTGCGCCCCCCCCCCCCCCCACCTGACCAGAGGAGACCCGTGGCTGAGTGCCTCTAGCTGTTCATCTCCTGCTCTAAACCCTCCTGGAACCTCCGCAAAGGAGAATAGGCTCAGAGAGGCCAAGTGACTTCCCCGAGGTCACACAGCCAGGGAGTGGCAGAGCGTGGACTTGAGCCCAACTCAAGCTCCAAAGTGTGTGGTCTGTTCTGCCCTTGGGGGAGCAGCTGAGGGTGAAAAGTGCCACACTGGGAGAAGCGCCTCCCCAGTCAGTCCCTGGAGGAGGAGGGCTCCAGCCCAGCTGACCTCCACTGTCCTGCAGGGCCTGTGCGGAACGTCTCTTCGTCACCTTTCCTCTCGTGACCTGCTGGCAGCACTGACCCGGGAGGGTCAAGGGCACTGAGCTGAGCTGTCCTGAGTGATGGAGGCTTCAGCCCTGCACTTGGCTGCCCCGGGTTCAATCCCCTGCACCAGAGGGTCTTATAGGCCCTGCCAGGAGTGACTCTTGAGTGTAGTGGAGTAACACCATAGCACTGTCCTACCATTATTCATCAGTTTGCTTGAGCGGGCACCAGTAACATCTGCATTATGAGACTTGTTACTGTTTTTGGCATATCCAGTACGCCCCAGGGAGGTTGCCAGGCTCTGCCGTGTGGACGGGATACTCTCGGTAGCTTGCTGGGCTCTCCGAGAAGGATGGAGGATTCGAACCCGGGTTGGTCATGTGCAAGGCAAATGCCCTACCCGCTGTGCTATTGCTCCAGCCTGTAGTGGGGTATGGTCCCCAAAACCAAACAAAACGATTGCACGACAGTGGATCACCCCCCCTCTCCCAATTTACCAGCGCACTAGCCAGCTGCCTCTGACCCTCACTGCATCCGGCCATGTCAGCAGCCCGCGGAGACAGGTGGGCAGGCGGGCAGATTCCCCTAATCCAGGCCAGCTGCTGGCTCTAGATATAGTTCCCGCGGGAGGAGGAGCAGACACGGACTCCACACACAGCTTCCGGTCCCTCGAGGCGGCCTGTGACATGCTGGGGCCTGCAGGGAGCTCTGGGGTGGGGTCAGCATCTTCCTGCTCAGTCTCGGGGCCCCACTCTGAAGGGGGTTGCAGCCGGGAAAGTGGCTGAATTGGCAGAGCACGGCCCGTTTTGAGACCTAAAGCTTAGTCCCCGGTGACCCACGGCCCTGGGCCACTGAGGAGCTCGACCTCAGGAGGGGCCCGAAGCTTGGGGTCTGGCGAAGGGTTCCAGTGGCAGTGCTGGGACAGCACCCGGGCTCCTTGCTCCTGTCCCCTGCCTGAGGTCACCCTGACCTAAGGAGCTGGACTGAAACTGACACTTGACCTCGAGGCCCAGGGTCAGGCCCTGTTCTTAATTTCCTGCTGGGCCAAGGGACTTGGGTGCAGTCGGGGCTCGAACTCAGGACTTCTAGCATGTGCTGTTCCCTGAGTGACGTCCCAGGCACTCCCAGCTAGTTAACTCAAGGCCCCGCGCAGAGAGCAGACACAGGCGGCAAACCCTGAGCACCGCGTGGTCTCCTGAGACTGCAAGGGATCAGCCACGGGCAAAGACACAGGAGTATCTCCTGAGCACTGTCCCCCCCATCCCCAAAAAATCCCAACAAGGGCCCTGAGAGATGCCGTCTCTGGTCACTTGCCTACACGCAGACCCAGGCTAGATCTCCCAAGGCAACCAGGAGTAGTACCAGAGTGCAGAGCCAGGAGGAAGGTCCGAGCACAGCAGGGCAAAACGGAGACAAAATAAACCAGAAGAAACACCAAAAACAAAAATAAAGGCGACATGGACACGTGGCAGGGAAGACGCAGGCCCCGCCCTCCCCAGGACGCAGCCGCAACTGCCATGGCGGACAGCGGCCTGCAGGGGGCAGTGTCTGCTTGGAGATAGGTCCATGAGCTGGACGCCAGTGGCAGAGGCCAGTGTCCTGCCACCTGCCCCAGGCTGGATGCTCAGAGCACCCCACAGAACCAGGGTTCAGCTTCCTGCGAGTCAGGGCTGACCCCATGCCCCGGCACCCCTCTGACCCTGACTCAGACATCTACCTAGCAGGTGGGTGTGGGGAACCCTAACACCACCAGCCTGCATTCTGTGCATGAGGGTCTTTTCCTTTCTTTTCTTTTCTTTTTTTTTTTTTTTTTTTTTGGCGTTTGGGCCACACTCAGCAGTGCTCAGGAAGTCCTCCTGGCGGTGCTCAGGTTACTATATTGGGATGCCGGAGATCGAACCCGGGTTGACCACATACAGGGCAAACGCCCTCCCCACTGTATTACTATCCCTCTGGCCCCGCAATGGTGGGGTGGGGGGATCTTTTTCAAACACCCTGAGCTCATGGAGGCATGGTCCTGGTGGGGTGACGGCCAGAAGCCACATTGGCAGGGACTCTCGGGCACAGGGAGAGGCGCCAGCCCTGGCAAGCCCATGTGTGAGAGCCGCGGTGCCCCCCAAAGGAGCACCACAAACATGACCTGTGTGTCTCAGGAGGGAGGCCAGCAGGGAGCCAGTGGGTAGGCTGGCAACCATCTTGGAGCCCCGTGACCGAGGTGTCACCCCAGCCCCCAGCCCGGAGCACCCCAGCCTGGTGGTTGTGCAGCCTCTGTCATGGCAACCACATCAACAATGACAAAGAAATGGATGCGGAGGATTAAAATCAATAGCAGAGGGGCTGGAGTGATAGCACAGCGGGTAGGGCATTTGCCTTGCATGCAGCCCAACCCAGATTCAATCCCCAGCATCCCATATGGTCCCCCGAGCACCACCAGGAGTAATCCTTGAGTGCATGAGCCAGGAGTAACCCCTGTGCATCACTGGGTGTGACCCAAAAAACAAAATCAATAGCAGAGGACATCAAAAATAAAGATTTGGGCTGGAGCAATAGCACAGTGGGGAGGGCGTTTGCCTTGCACGCGGCTGAGCCGGGTTCGGTTCCCAGCATCCCATATGGTCCCCTAAGCACCACCAGGAGTAATTCCTGAGTGCAGAGCCAGGAGTAACCCCTGTGCATCGCCGGGTGTGACCCAACACGCAAACAATAAAGATTTGAATCCCAACCCCTTCCGTAGAAATTCTGACTTCACAGCTCTGGGGAGTCTCTCTCTGGGGAGACTTGGGGTCTTTGTTGTTGGGACCACAGATCTCGGGGGCTCCCAACTTGGGCCCTGGGGGTCATTCCTGGAAGCGCTTTGGAACCATGATGCCGGGCTGACTCTGCCAGCCCTTTGGGCCTCCTCTCGGGCCTGTTCCGCTCAGTTTTGAGGCCCTGCCTGACTCTGCTCAAGGCTTACATCTGGCTCTGCCTCAGGGAATCTCTCCTGGGATAGAAAACCCGATTGAACCGACCGGGTTCCGTCCCCCGAGTCGCACCAGGAGCGATCCCTGAGCGAAAGCCGGGACTCAGCCACCCTGAGCATCACTGGGTGCGGCCCCCACACACCAAAGCCCAAGATGCACAGAGCTAGGGAGGTCAAGTCCCCCCTCTCCCCATCTCTGGACCCCAGGAGTCCGCTGCGGGATGCCAGCTTCTCTGCCCTGGCACGTGCATGCCCTTCATGCTGTGGCCTGGTTCACCTGTGGCCCCACCCCTCCGCCTGGCACCAGCAGACCTGCCCGGCTGGTTTGCCGGGGACGAGGTGGCTGTTTTGCCGTCTTAGGGCTCTTCTGACTGACTGACTCAGGGCTGCGGAGAGTCCCGAGAGGCTGCAGGGCCCAGGGGAGGAGAGAGCAGGGCAGAGGCCAGCCCTGACCGCAGGCAACCTTGCAGACCCGGGGCACAGGGAGGCCCCTGAGGACAGTATCTCCCCCCTCCCCCCCAGTCACGCCAGGCCCCCACCTGCTGCTCAAGTCTCTTAGTCACCCGCTGCCGCCTCTGCAGCTGCCGGGCTCACCCAGATAGAGCTTCTTGGCCGTGACTAATTCCTGGTCCCTCGCTCTATGGTCTCTGCCCCTGGCCTAGGATAAAGCAGGCAGAAGGCAGGGCTGAGAGGAAAGCGGTATGTGTGGGTCTGTGGGGTACATGGCTAAGCTGATGGGAGGGGAGAGGGGTATGGGGGGACGTGGGCGTTCCCCCCATGGCCCAGTAGAGACAACTCCGCCGGCGTGGGAGGCTGGGCGGAGCCGTGGGCCTCACAGGCCCGGTTTCCTCACCTATAAAATAGGTGAACAGTCACCAGCCGCCTCCCCGGGGTCGGGAGACACAAAGGCTGGGTGAGAAGGCTCAGGTCATTAGGTGCCAGCGCACAGATGGGTGCATATTCCTGCCCCCCGGGGAACGCAGGAGCCTTGCAATTTAAAGCGGGGCCTGAGTGCGCAGCATTGCTCATGCCAAGGGCCTGGGAGGCTGAGCACGAGAGGAGAGGGGCCCCGGGTCAGGGATGGGCTCTGACTGGCAGAATGCAAGCCTGGCACAGGCCCGGCCCCACGCGGCTCCCGGTGCGCCCCAGGAGGGACCCCAAGCCCTGCTGGGAATGGCCTCTCTAAGAGAGTTGAGAAGGGGGCTGGAGCGACAGGCCAGCGGGGAGGGTGTTTTTTGCCTCGCTCGCAGCTGACCTGGGCTTGATCCCCATCACCCCATCTGGTTCCTCGAGCACTGCCGGGCGTGATTCCTGAGTACAGAGCCAGGAGTCAGCTTTGAACACAGTTGGGCGTGGCCAAACACACGAGCGCGTGTGTGTGTGTGTGCGCGCGCACACACACACACACACAAAGAGGAAAAAAGAGAAGAGGGACTGATGGGGTCATTGGTGGGAGGGCAGGGAGGTGAGTAGCG